CCCCAAGGATGAACCAGTGGCACTGATTGCTGGCCCTTTTATCAAGATGCCCTCCTGGTTTGGGGTCTGTGTTCATTGTCCACAGAAGAAACCAAACATGGACCTTAGGTGCTGTTTCATGATGATCCAGTATGGGAGGAAATCCTGAGGGGAGAGGTATGGTCCACCTGACTGCCCCCTTCTGCTCCAGCAGGCTCATGGGAGCCGGCTAGCCTGGGGGCACTCAGGCTCAGAGGTGTTCCCAAGAGCCCCAGATCTAACCACATCTGGCCCCACCTCGGCCTGGGCCAGATTCCATCACCTCAGTGATAAGGGATGGATAGGCGGTGCCTTGGCAGCTGCGGTTCAGGAGATGCACTGTTGCCCTTTCCTTGGGCCTACTGGAGGGTAGAGCTGAAGGGCTTCTAGTTGGGCACTGGCACTGTTGCCAATGCTACCTTCTGGGATGGCTGTCCACTAAAGCAGCCAGGAACTGAGAGGGGGGTTCACGACGACGGGGGACGGAGACACAACGACTAGCCGGCCAATGACTTCCCCTGGGTCCTAAAGGGAGCTAGATTCGGAAAACTCCCTGCTGTCCACAATCAGAACTTTATCTCAGGAAAGCAAGGCCTCCAGCTTCTTTTTTGTCTTTTTGAGACAGGGCCTCTCAGTAGCCCCAGCCGGCCTAGAACTTGCTATGTAGACCAGGCTGGCCTGGACTGTATGGACATTCGTTAGCCTCTGCCTCCCTCGGGGATGCGAACCCACACGGAGTCGCGCCCTGCCAACCAGACCTTGGACACCCCCTTAAGCATATTGCGCTGTTTGCCGAGAAAGGAAAACACCGCTCAGGCCCTCGGGCAGGGTGAGGCGGGTACCGGCAGGCACTCTCTAAGCCCGACGTCACTTCCGACGGGCGAGTCCGCCTTCTCTAAATACGTACTTCCGCCCGCCCAACAGTTAGGTCTCTGATAGGCGTGAAGGCACTTCCGGCCTCAGGTGACGCCTTACGATGTCCTCTTCCGGGTGGTGGAGGCGAGTGCCCCGGATGTAACCGTGGTGAAAGCTGCGTTCCTTTTCTTCCGCCGGATCCTGGGCTGTTAGGTGAGTGCCGGTGGTGGACTACCCTGCTCCTGGCGGTTGGCACTGGGGTGGGAGACCGAGTGCCAGCCAACGAACCCCGTACGGACAGGTGGGCGGATGACGCAGGGGAACCTGACGACGTGGGGAGCACCCACAGGGTTCCCGGGTCGGGAGACCTTCTCGCGGTCTCCCTGCGGGAACTCTGAATTGCCTATCAATTCCGGGGCGTCCTGCCTGCGAGTTCTTTCAGCCGGTTCTGTGCCCTGTTCTCTCACAAACTGTGTTCCTGGCACAAGAAAAATATTTATGGTGAATGTGGTGTTAGCCCGGGCAGCCCCCTCCTTACCCGGTTTCCTTACTCCGAATCTTTTTCCGAGGCCCAGCTGGAGGAAGGCTCCTCAGCCAGTCATGCCAAAGAGGAAAGTGACCTTCCAAGGCGTGGGAGACGAAAATGAAGAGGATGAAATCAGTGTCCCTCAGAAGAAGGTGAGGTGGCCAGATTCCTAAGTTCTGAGGACTGAGAGAGGGGAAAGACGAGCTAGCTGTCTGCTGAAGAGGCAAACTGGGGAGTGAAAGAAAGTTCACTGAAAAATGGGTTTGTAAGGCTCGGTGCAGATCCTGGAGTATTTTGGGATCTAGACAGTAATCTGCCTTTCTCACTTGCTGCTTGCTACTCAGCTGGTGGACCCTGTCCCTGGGGCAGGGGGGCCTGGGAGCCGCTTCAAAGGCAAACACTCTTTAGACAGTGATGAGGAGGATGAGGAGGAGGGATCCAGCAAATATGACATCCTGGCTTCAGAGGATGTAGAAGGTGAGCTTGCTGGAGCATTAACTGTTGGAGGGACCGTGGGGGTGTGGAGGAGGGGAGGCTCACCTGTCTTTATTTTGCATGCCTCGCATGGGGCACCCATGTCTTTGGTGCAGGTCAGGAAGCAGCAACTCTCCCTAGTGAGGGGGGTGTACGGATCACACCCTTCAACCTGCAGGAAGAGATGGAGGAAGGCCACTTTGATGCTGATGGCAACTACTTCCTGAACCAAGATGCACAAATCCGAGACAGTTGGCTGGACAACATTGACTGGGTATGACTCTGGGGCTGCCATGGCTGAGACCTGGGAATACAGGTGCTGGGCCCGGGCCCTGTTGGAAGTTTGCAAGAAAGAACCGTTATTTTTTCCCTTACAGGTGAAGATCAAGGAGCGGCCACTTGATAAGCACCAGGCTTCAGACTCAGAAGAGGAAAATGGTCTGGGTCAGACACCCATGAGTGCCCAAGCCCTCTTGGAGGGACTTTTGGAGCTGCTGTTGCCAAGAGAGACCGTGGCTGGGGCACTGAGGCGTCTGGGGGCCCGAGGAGGAGGCAAAGGGGGCAGCAAGGGGACTGGGCGACCTAGTTCCCCCCAGCGCCTAGATCGGCTCTCTGGGCTGGCTGACCAGATGGTGGCTCGAGGCAACCTTGGTGTATACCAGGAAACAAGGGAACGATTGGCTATGCGGCTGAAGGGGTTAGGGGGTCGGACCCAGGGATCCCATGACCCCAAACCTCCACCCTCCCTGGACATGTTTGCTGAAGAAGTGACAGAGGGGGTGCTGGAGACTCCAACCCCTACTCAGGGAGAAGGTAAGCTTGGAGGACAAAGAAGGGGCATTGTTGGCAGGAGAAAGGGCACTTGCCCAAATATATTTGTTGTTTTAGAAGCAGAGTCACCAGGAGATGGTCTAATGGATGTGATGTGGGAATATAAGTGGGAGAACACAGGGGACGCTGAGCTCTATGGGCCCTTTACCAGTGCCCAGATGCAGGTAAGCCCTTTTATGCTCCCTTCTGTTTTGTCTCCCTCCTCTGACTCCTTACCCTTCATCATTTTTGCCCTTCTACAGACATGGGTGAGTGAAGGCTACTTCCCGGATGGTGTTTATTGCCGGAAGTTGGACCCTCCGGGTGGTCAGTTCTACAATTCCAAGCGCATTGATTTTGACCTCTACACGTGAGCCTGCTGAGGGCCCAATTGGATGGCCCCTTCTTTCCTGGACTTCACAGAGGAGGCCCCAGCCTTCTCAGGCACTAAAGATATTGGAGGCCACTTTTCTGGCAGTTTCCCTTTCCCATTAAAAGCCTAGAGTGTGGTGCATCAGGCTGCGTGGATGGCTGAAGCCAGGGTCTCCACAGCCCCTTTGGCCTTGCCTGGGTCCTTGAGTGATTCTTCCCATGAAGTTCCTCCTTGGGTGTTTCTCTCTGTTGTCTCGGACCACCTCAGTAGTGTTTACCACACTTACCGACAGCTAGGGCCTGTCAGGTATCCTCTGGCTATCCGGACTTCTATTTTCCATGTAAAATCCCTTTGCGTCTAGTCTCCAGTCTTTTCTGGGGCTCCTTGTTCTGTCCTTCTTCTGTCTTTGGCTTTTAGGACCTTGGATTCTCTGTCCTTGCAGCCCCCAAGGGATAGAGCCCTCAGCAAATGGTGTTTTAGGCCTGAAAGGGCTGGGATATCTAGAAGACTTCAGGATCCTGATGGGTGTGCATAGGAAGCCTCTTATGCTTTGGCTTCCCTCTTGTCCCTCAAGCTATTTAGGTGAAGGAAAGAAGTAGGATGCGTAGGCCAAGGTTATCCAGAGTCTTCCCTAGTATGGTTCCTCTATCCCTTATAGTAGTTCCCACAGCTCTTAGGTGAAGTATGAACTCAATGATCCTTAAGGCCACCTAGGCCAGAGAGGGGCAGTGACTGACTGACTTAACTGGTCCAGGTCCAAGGGGCTCCCTTCCCTGACTTTTCCTGGCACAAAGCCTTTTCTGCTTGGCTTTTCAGGCCCTGCAGCTTACATTCTTGGGCTCCCATGTGTGTCTGGCACAGGGTTAGTGCCTTGAGGAAACACCACTGGCCTAGTCCCCTCCCAGGAACCCTGAGTCTGATGGAGGGTTCACCCCCCTCCCCCAGCCAGTGCTGCCTTATCACTTATACCAGGTTAGATTGATTCTTCCACTTTTCCACCTTGCCTACCCTTTAGAATCTCCTGGGAGTGGTAAAACCTCCTCCAGGATTGAGATAGGTTGGCCTATAGCCTGAGTGATGTCTTAAGCTCCCCAGGTCTATCCAATATGCAGCCAGCTGAGAACCCCTGGGCCTGACCCCTTTGACCCAGCACATCTGGAGAGGAGCAGAGCTGAGCACTTGTGTGGCTCTGGTGGAGTCCATTAATTGCAGGGATCCACAAGACACACAGGAGAGCTACCCTGGGAGCTCCAGGGTAGCACCTGGGAACTCAGATGGGGTTCAGGCAGGATGGGGTGCTTGATGCAGAGACCTCCAGCTATAGATAGTAATTGCCCCTCATTACTGACAGTGTAGACCACAGTTTCTTTTTCTTTACTCACTAGTGTGTAAAATTGAAACCACAAAAGACAAGTCGAGCCCTCGAGTTGCAAAAGCAAGAGGTTTTTATTTCACACAGGTACCTGTGGGCACAACTCCTGACAAAGGGAGAAGCGCGCCCCAGGTCTGGGGTTTGGGGTCTTTATAGGAGCAGAAGCAGTTTACAGAAGCAGAAGCGTGGTTATTGGTTAGTTTAAACTATTACAAAATGCTATAGGGAGAGCGGGGGGGCTTTTTTATCATTAAGCCAGATGTTTCAACCATAAAACTTACTTATCAGTGAGTTGGAGATGTCTCAGCCATGAAACTCACTAATTAGAGAGTTGGCCATGAAGCTTACTTATCGGCAAGTTGGAATTCTTGACCAGCACATGACCTGCCTGAGACGTGACTTGTCTGAGAGGCTTCATGGCTCCTGACTTTTATATTTTTCAAGTGGTAACATACCTAACTTTGTATGTTAAAGAAAAGAACTCTGCCAGTTAGTTGTAAGGTATTACTGATTAAAAGATGCACTTGATTTCAGAAATACTCAAAAGTGAAAAGTAGATATCTTACGATGGGTGAGATGCAGTATTCACCTCTGTGGCCTGAGTGACTGTTTAGAAATACTATGGGCACCAAGGACAATCATTCCTTCTAGAGCCTCCAGGTTCCCTAGATTTGACCTATCCAAAGTTGACTTCGCCTTCTCTTTGCCTCTTGAGTGTACCATACTGCTGACACCCTGGAGTAAACAGAATGTTGATCCCCAAATGTATCCACATTGTGAGCCCCAGACCCTGTGAATAGTACTTTATGTGGCAAAGGAGGTAGTGCGGATGTGGTAAAGCTGAACATTTTTGAGACAGGAAGATAACCTTTTATTGAGGTGGGCTCAGTGTAATCACAGGGTTTTTAGGGAGTGAAACAGAGCCTAGAGACTCCCAGAAAGAGACAGGAGGACTTTATGTTGCTATCTGAAAATGGAGAAAGAATCATGTGGCTTGGAGAAGTGGGAAAGGCAGAAAACAGATTCTTTCAGAGCATCCTCAAACAAATGCAGCTCTCACAGTGGTGGCCCAACGAAACCTGTTTTGGACTTCTGACCTCTAGAACTGTAAGATAATAAATTTGTTTTGTTTAAGCTTCTGAGTTTGTATTCATTTGATACAGCCCCAGTAGGAAATGAATATGCACCCACCCTCTGGGGAGCCACTGTGGTTTCCCTGTGGCCACAACCACTTTTGAACCCCATTGGGTGTTTAGAACTCTGTCGGTGTCTCCATATTGCCATAGTGTTCTTTTTTTTTTTTTTTTGGTCTTTTTGAGACAGGGTCTCCTTGTAGCCCCAGCTGTCCTGGAACTCACTATGTAGACCAGGCTGGCCACGAACTCACAAAGACCTGCCTGCCTCTGCCTCCCAAGTGCTGGGATTAAAGGCGTGTGCCGCCACACCTGGCATATTATTTTTTATGTGTGTGAGTGTTTTGCCTGCCTATGTAAGTGCACCTGTGTCATGCAATGCCCATGGAGGTCAGAAGAGGGCGTTGGATCCCCTGGAACTAGTTATAGATGGTTGTTAGCCACCATGTGTGTGCTGGGAACTGAACCCGGGTCCTCTGCAGGAGCAGCCAGTGCTCTTAACTGCTGAGCCAGCTCTCCAGTCTCCATAGAGTTTATTGTACTGCTCCCACCCCAGTGCTAACCAGGCCTGACACTGCTCAGCTCAGAGAGTGGACGTGCTTAGGGTGGTCCAACCATGCACAGAGCAGTATTTCTTTGGGTTAGGTTGGGTTTCTGATTTTTTTTTTTTTTCTTGGCTTTTCTTTTAGAGTAAAAAAGAAAAGGGTAGGCAAGTTGTAAATCTCTAGCTGCCTAGCATGGAGGTCAGAGGAGCAGTCATGTGATGGTAGATTTAGAGAAAGAGTGAGGAAGCCCAAAATATTATGGAAGCCCAAAGTGTTAGGGAAAGCATGCTTAGAAAAGAGAAAGAAGAAAAGGAGAGGGTATGCTTTTCTGAAGAATTTAGAAAAGTGTGCAGACCTAGGAAGCCCCAGGGCTGCAGCCCCACAAGCTACTGCCATTTTTTCTTAAAGCAGCTGCTATATATAGTTAATATAAGCCAATAAATAAAACAATACATGTTTTTTTTTATTTATAAGGTTTTTTTTGGTTGGTTGGTTTTTAATTTTTTTTTTTAAATTTTAAAAATTAGGGTGGAGAGATGGCTCAGTGGTTAAGAACACTGGCTGTTCTTGCAGAAGACTCAGCATCCACATGGCAGCTAACAACTACCTGTAACTCCAGTTCCAGGGGATCCGACAGCCTCTTCTGTCCTCCGCAGGCATTGCATGACATGGGTACACTTAACCTACGTGCAGGTATAATATAAAAATACACACAAAATCAAAATAATTTTTAAAAACAGCAAAAGGCAAGAAGGAAGGAAGGAATGAAGGAGACTATAACTGAGAATTGAGCCTTTCCCTTTTTTGGCAACCAACCCCCTCGAAATTTCAAGGATTACAGGGTCTCTGTTAGTATCTGATGGAGGGTTCAGAACTCAGGAAACTTTCCCAGTCACAACACGACACACCTTTATGAATCACCACCTTTCCCTAGTCTGTAAGGTCAGCATCTTCCCATCCTGACTGAGAGTCTGAGTCTGGTACCGACACCTACTGTACCCATTGGAGTGTGCAGTCACCATGCACTGTTACTTCAGTTAGAGCAGTGAGAGCCTCTATTTTTAGAACCAACAGAAAATAATGCTGAGTCCTTAAATGCTTAAAGTCATCTGACTCCAGGGTCTCTACACCAGTAAGATATTCTGATCTGAAAACAAACTCTGTATTTTGTAACAGCATCAAAGTCCATAGCAAACCAGAGAAGCCAGTTCATCTGGATTCAACTTCACTAGAAGTTGCTTTTGAGAAGAAAAGGAAAAGGAATGCCAGGTTGGTTATGTTATTATGTTCAGAATTGAGATGTTTTCACATACATTTCTAGTCTTTATATACATGACTATCACTGGTCACAGCCGCCCACCTTCTGAGCTCCTCGGCATCTGAGCATGAATAGAAACTCGTCAGGTAGACAGCCTTCCTCTCCCACTAGAGCCTCCATACTCTGCTATCCCTGCCACTGTCCACTGTGCTGTCAGCACCCC